CCCCAGCCTAGGCTGCCCTGCCCTGCCCTGCCCTGCCGGGCTCCGCAGAGCTGCTGAGGGCGGGGGCGGGGGGCGCCTCATCTACCGCAGCGGAGGAAACAAACTGCCCCGGGGGCGGGGCGGGGCGGGGGGCGCTGTGATGCTTTTGCTGCTGAGGTTGGAGCCTGCTGCCAGTGCTCTGAGCTGTGGGGGCTGGATTCGGTTTCCTTCTCTTGACAGGGAGATCATTGAACAGCATAGGCCAACAGTAATCCTTCCCATTCATCCCCTTCCTTACCATCCCCCAGGATGGGGTTAGAAATGTCAGGAGAACCATCTCCAGCTGTTCTGTTTAATAGCTATGAATAGGTCCCTGGATTTGGCTAGTCCCTTTTTGAATGGACCTATTCTGCAGCCTCCTGTGGGAAAGAGCTCCACAAGCTTCCTGCCCCCACGCGAAAATGGACTTTCCCTTGTTTTAAACCAGTCTCCTGCTCATCGCAGTGGGTGCTGCCTTGCTCTAGTGTTCGGGGATCATTTGCTCGTCCACATCTTCCATGACTTTATTAGACCCCTACCCTATCGCCCCAGCCTTCTCCTGTCCGAACTGAAGAGTCCTACCTTTTTTTTAGTTTCTCCTGGTATGGCAACTACATAGAACTTCTCAAACATGAATTTTTTATCCTGAAGATATCCAGGTCAATGTCAGATACATTCCTTGCATCTCTTATAAACGAGTAGTGAGGTTAAACTGTTTGAAGATTAATTACATTCTAGGATTACTATATTCCTTACGTGTGTGTGGATTTTCTCCCCCTTTATAGCAGGGTCCTTGATGACCACAAACCCCACACAGCCACAGGCAACGTTGCCAAAAAGTCAGACATCGACAAGTACAAATGCTCCGTATCTCAAGCTACCAGGTACAAATGTTTGTTCTTCTTTTACTTCTTAAAGAAACAAATCTGTGTGTTTTCTTTTATTTTTTTTGCTAATATTGAATTTCACAGTAAAAAAAATCAGTAAAGCATTTTAAAAACCCCTGTACATTGTATGTTATGATTAAAATTCCCACTGCACAGTGAGGTAGAGGAATTATTTCCGTAAAGATCTTAAATGACTAATTAGAATTCTGTAGTTAGAAGATATGCAAGCCTTTACAGTTGGAACATCATTTTAAAGGGAATTTGGTTCCAGGACTTAATACCTTTGCTGATAAATGCCATTTCTCAGGAACACAGCTTGCTTCTACCTTACACAGGGCACAAAATTGGTTTTTGTACATCTCAGTGGGGTGCATAATTTTAATTCTAATCTCAGCAAGCTAAGATACTGATTATTCACTTTTTGTGAATTGGGTAAATGTATGATAGCATGTGTTTGTTTGAAAAGTATGAACCTTAAAATGAAGTGTTTTTTTGCAAGTTGGAAGTAGGAACTTTAGGATGTGCGACACCTGTCAATGGGACCAGTTTGCATGTAGATGTTAGAGTATGAGAATAAAGGCACTGTCAAAACACTCAGAAAGGCTAGATTTTTGTTTTATGAATCTTATTAAGAACTGTATATTTAACTACAACAGGACTATGAAACTATCTTTTGGCTATTTTTTGCTTAGTTTGTGTTTTTTAAACTTTACACATTATGTAGCAAATTAGTGAATATATCTACATCTGTTTTTGCTTTCATCTGAAACTAAATAATATAGCATTAGACCTCTAGCATGTTGGTAAAGCTTCTAGTTTCTGTTTAACTGGAGAAAAATGTGGTGTTATATAGGATGATGTCCCACAACAACTGCATCCCCCTCTTCAGAATTCTAGATCTGCCCATGGTCACTCTATTAATGATCTCAAAAAGGGTAATAAGAACTATGGCTTCAAAGTTGTGTAGGAGATTTAGAAGTTTAGTTATTCAAAATCAGAGAAGACAGATAAACCTCAAAAGGATCTAGCTCAAGCTAAGCGGCTAAGTAATACACAACATGTTGGTTCTGAAATTCATCGTTGACGAATGCAGGATAATGCATGTTGGAGGGAATAGTTTAAAGTAGTTGGACACCTTATTAATTTTTAATGAACTGTATCAGCTTGGGGGGAGAGGTGGAGAAGGAAGAAGGACCTAGGTGTTGTGAACAGCTTAAAGTTCAGCAACAGCTGAATAAGCAAGTATTCTTCAGGTGAACAATGATATAGAAATTGTTATAAACATTAGATAACTCTGTTGCATGCCTTCATCTAGAATATTGCATTTTGGTTCCAGTCACTGTGTCGGAAAGCTTAGGTAGAAATGAAAGGTACTGCAATTGGAGATGATGATGAAAATAGGTAAAAACTTATGAGGAGAGTCTGAAAAGACTGGGACTATTGGTGGTCACCTCAAAGTACAATGCCATTCATTTCAGGGATACAGAATAACAAAGCGGAGCTGACAGGCTTGTATTAACTCTTTTTCTTCCTAGAAGAAGAAAAAAAAAGAATATTCAATGACAGTGAAAGATGGCAATTTCAAAAGTGATGGTTAAAGAAATACTTAATGCAGAGATAAACTGGAACGTACTGCCACAGGATCACTAGGGTTAAAGTTTCAGTAGATTTAAAAAAAAAAAAAGATATGTGAATGACATGCATTTGTTTTTCAGAAACTTTGTAAATATTTATAATCATAAGAAAAAGAGCTTTCTGGTATGAAATAATATCTGATTGTTAGAGGTCAAGAAGAAATCTTCTATAGAGGCTGATTATCCCACAACTTGCTACTTTAGGGCAATGGACCATATAAAGAAGTTGTTATTTGGTAGTTTTACCCCCTACTGAAACCAACCAATACCATTGAATTTTGATTTTGCCATTATAAAAAAAAAAAGATAATTCTTCCCTCCCCTAAATTGGCATAGACTTTGGCCTACACACCATGTACAATTAATCCAGACCTGGAGACACCAGTATAAGGGGATCTTTATCCCCTTCCCAGGTTTGCTGGGGGACAGACTCCCTGAACAGCAGCAGAAGGTCTCGTTTCCCAGCCTGTTGGGAATTTGTATGCCCAAGCCATATGCTCTTGGGAGACAAAGGGGAAGAAGTTGCATTGTGTGCTCTTGGGTTTGTTATCTGTCAGCTCATGGAGCATCTCTGATTACTAGAGCTAACATAAGTGGGACAGGAGGGTAATAGAAATGTTATTGTGTATTGTCCATACTTAGGCTGAGCATATGGAAATTCCAGAAATCCAGGACATCATCCAGGACAATGCCCTCCTCCCCACAATGCTTTCACAAGTTGGTGGGGCTGCCTGCCTACAAGGCACTCTGTGCCACTCCGACTCCTGGTCAGACTGTGCTCTGCACCCCTGCATTTCCAGGATGCCCATTACAGTTCTCAGCAGCTACTCTGCACCCCTGCATTTCCAGGATGCCCATTACAGTTCTCCTCAGCTAGCTGGGCCCAGCCTCTGAAATTCAGGACTGTCCCAGCTAAAACAGGACATACGGTTACCCTATCTGTACTGGCTGTGCTTGAGCCTAACATCAGGGATCTTTTCTGAAGCAGCTTGTATTGGCTATTGTTGAATGCTGGACGTAGCATGAGATGGACTACTCTGCATTTCCAGGATGCCCATTACAGTTCTCCTCAGCTAGCTGGGCCCAGCCTCTGAAATTCAGGACTGTCCCAGCTAAAACAGGACATACGGTTACCCTATCTGTACTGGCTGTGCTTGAGCCTAACATCAGGGATCTTTTCTGAAGCAGCTTGTATTGGCTATTGTTGAATGCTGGACGTAGCATGAGATGGACTACTGGTTTATATTTGTAATAAGAGCATAGTTGTATGTTGTAAAATTCTTAAAGTTAGCTGTACATACACTGAAGATTAATATTAAGTTCCTATTCTCAACATATTCTTTTACACTTCAGAAAGCACTACCATTCCACCTTATGTGACTCAGTGTCCCAGCAATGGGCTTTGCAGCAGGTTGCCTCCAGACTGTATGAATTGTACAACCAACTACTCTTGTATATATGGAAAGCCAGCTACTTTTGATTGCAAAGTCAAACCATACGTTCACTGTGTAGTAAGTAATTAATTTACTCCTTTGTAATTTGGAATTTATGTGTCTTGTTAAAGTGTTATGCAGTTTCTAATATCCTTAAGCTTCTATAATAACTTGAAAAGAACAGGCATCTATACTGTATGCATTTACAGAGAACAAGATTATCTATTTTCTGATTTTTCTATGTTCTGAGCTAAATGTATGCATAGGAAACAGAATAGCTTATCTGTCTCTTCTCTTTCCCCAAACTGAAAGCTGTGAGTACTAGTTATTCGTGACCTGTGAAAATTTTTTTATGTGCTAATCGGTGTTATCATGGTGCTAATACTCCCATCCTTTATAGGATCAGAATAACAACAAACAGGAGAACTTTACAATCAACATGACTTGCCAGTTCTGCTGGCAGATTCCTCCAACTGATTATGTATGCACCAATTCAACAAACTGCATGACTGTTTCTTGCCCACGACAGAGATATAATGCCACTTGTACAGTACGTGATCATATTCATTGTCTAGGTAAGTCAGATTAACAAATAGCTAAGGACGGATTCTTTTGTAAAGAAAACGCAGGGTTGTTTTTGTATTCAGGTCAGTGTCAGCTGCTTTGTGCAGTGCATTGTGGGAGGGACATGCACCAAAATATAGTCTCCTGTGTAGGTCTGTGCTCCTCACTCTTGTCTGCGACACGTGTTTCTGTACTTGCCATCCCCATTATGATAGTGCCCTGTGTTTGTGTGTACTGTCTGCTGCTAGTGAGTACCAAAATTGTCTTGTAAAAGTGGTAGAAATGGGTCTTGGGGTCAGTACAGATGAGGTCTTGGAACCTATCATGTTACATTGTAAAGTGAATTCCCATTATGCGAATTCAAGTTATGCACTGTTTTCTAGGAAAGCATGTACAGCATGAAGTGAGGGAAACCTGCACTTGAATATAAGATGCCCCCCCCAAATAATTAGGTTCTATATATGGAAGGCCTATAAATACATTATAATTTCCAGGTATAGAATTTAATTATTGTAGGTTTGGCTTGAGTATGTCCCCTTCCCTCTGCTATAGCACCACCACTGATAGTGTGGATGGTGGCTGTGGGGGGGGCCCCTTTTCCCCCTTCCCCCCCCCCCCCCCCCTTTTAATGTCAGACCCTGCTCTCCCTGACTCCACTGAATTTGAAATAAACATACAGACAAATTACTATGGGTACCTATAGATTTAGTTCATCCAGAATTGATACATTTTACTTTTTTTGAAACTGCTGTAAGATTTAGCACAGGTACTTCATAAACATACTTTCTTAAATAGAGTACAGGGCCTTTAAAAAAAAAAAAAAAAACTTTATCAATTCCAAATTGGTTCCAAATTCTGGTAGGGAGGATACTTGCCTTGTGGTAGAGCCTCACAGACTTAGCAGTTGAGTTCTGCTCTTTGAATTGTTGGAACTTGATTATTGGGTTTTGCCCAACAGAATTCGCAATCTATTTGGCCTTTTTTTTTTTTTTTTAATAGAGTAGGGTCCTATTAATATGTTTGACCAGTCCAGGCCATGTGTTTTATAGTCATGCAGTGTGGGCTGCATTTAATCAACTTCATAGTTGGTTTCCATTACTGAGCACATGCTGCTTTTGGCAGCAGTTTAATGATAGACAGTGTATTTAATGAGGTTTCCTTGTATGTGAATGGAAGATGAGGAACTGTTTTTCCCATGCTGACTGGGGGGGACAGGGGACGGGACCTCCTCTTGCATGGAAGTAAATAGAGTAATAGTCTACTAAAGGAGAGAAAATACATTCACTAACATTGTATGTTGACTTTTATCAGTAAAATTACATGATTCAGCATGAATAGAATTTCCTTTAAGATGGAAGTCAGCAGCTTATGGGCTATGAAGTCATTTTATCTGGTTCACAGAGTGGGAGGGCTTCTAAGGCATTTTGGTGAGTGGGTGGGTGTGTAGGGGTGGGGAGGGGAGGGGAATGGTGAATGGCAGCAGCACAGGCTGGTTTGGAAGTAATTCATGCCTGGACCTAAGCTGTTAAAGCTATTCCCCACTCCCAAATGTTTCTAACTGCTTTAAGGTGCTATAGTGGCATAAACTAAAAATCTTGTAAGAAACTTGCCTTTTGAATTCACAGTAGTTTAATCTGGGGCCTGAAATTAAGAGGTGAATTTAATCCACTTTTTTTTTTTTTTCTTGATGAAGTGGAGCAGGCAAGAATTGTTTGGAAGATCCTTTAGGAAGGTATAAAGCAGGGGTAGGCAGCCCCTGTCACAAGTGCCAGAGCATGGCACACATAGGGCTGCACTGCCACAACAAAGATTGGGCCCCTCACAGCTCCCCTGCTGTCTGCCCCTGGCATGCCAACATCTTACAAGTTGAGGTTGCAGGTATTTTTGGTACTCTGCCCAAAAACATTGCTGACCCCTGCTATAGAGAATGGGTGTAATTGGGCTGTTATGGTGTGGCCAAATCAGTAATACCTTGTTTAGCTATTAATATCAGTTCATTCAAGTTGTAAAAATACAGCATGTTTATACTCAATGTTTTAATTCTTGAGTCTGCCTTGGTCTATTCTTAATGGTATTGAGATTTGAATGGGTTTCTTGTTTCCTCAGGTAATCGTGTCTTTCCCAAGATGCTGTATTGCAACTGGACTGGAGGTTATAAGTGGTCTACAGCCTTGGCACTAAGGTAGACATGAACTATTACTAATGTTTATATCAGCAGAAAGATTTGTGTATGTGTGCATAAAATTTTAGCCTGTTTCTCTGTTCAGTCAATTTCTATCAATTTGACTTGGTTCTTGGTATTTAATGTCTTGCTGCAAATTTAGACCAAAAAGCTGCCTATGATCTCATATAACTGGTCAATATTAGCTAGTGTCTATAAATACTGATGTATTTGGACATAATGGTGAAAGTGTGTGTGTGTGTGTGTGTGTGTGTGTAAGGTGGAGGTGAGGGGGAGCGGGAATGCAGTTTCCTTGGCATTGGCAATAAAATAAACTCCACCAATAACCCAAATGTGAAATGGTTTGGAATAAGTTACAGAGATGTTCTAATTGTGATTAGTTTTATGGGCTCTACTGAACTCCATTTGGCTAACCTTTGATGGACTGCATGCTCTGCTAGTTTCTTAGGTCCATTGAATGGGGAAGAAAAGGTTGGGTGGGATAACCAAATTGTGGTTTTTCCCAAATCTCATGAACACATGACACCAAAAGTGCAACACTGTTCATAGTACATAATACAGACTTTTCCATCCATCCCCCTCTTCTTTCATGCTTAAATAAGCAATGAAACCACTAACAGTGTTTATCTGTGAAACTTCACTGGGCATGAGGTAAATAGAGCAGTTTGCCTTTTTAAAGCTGCTGTTTCTGTCTTGGATAGACATTGCTGCGCTAGTTACAATTGATCCATGTTTTTGAGATTTTCTTTGCAGCTATAACAGCTAGAGAGATGAGATCCTGAAGTATATGATACTGTACTTGCTGGAGATGCAAGTGTACTGTGCTGTCAGATAAAAAGGCTGTCATTTTTTATTTCTTACTGTGTTAGTACAGCATCACAGTATTGTTTGGACTGTTGCTGGAGCATGTCAGTGGATTTCTACATGTTGGCTGTGAAATCAGATTCTTTCATTTACATCAAACTTTTTAAAACATGTGCATGCACACGTGTGAAAACATATGTACCTCTGGTACATCAGAACGTTATCCAAACTGAAAAGCAGTAGTAGTCTCATTAGCAAATTGGTCTGAAATGCTTTTTCAGAGCAAGCCAATCCCATTTCTGCTTCCAATTGGAGAAAATAATTATTGCTGAACCACTATAGCAGAATGCACTCCCTGGTATTTCCTAGTCCCTGCAAACATCTAAAATTTGGGGTCAAACAAAGCAGCTTGTAGACCCACTTACATATTATAAACAAAGCTACAATGGCCTTTTTTCCTTCACATCTTCCATACAGAAATTCACAAGATTTGGATGATACTTTAATTAGCTAAGAATTAGTGCTTTTAATAATCTATCAAAACCATTTTTTGTTTTGTGTGGGGGTTTTTTTACTACTATTTAAGTCCAGCTGTATGCATTATTTGGAATTTCCAACTTATTGTGACAAGAAACTTATTCCATTTAACTATTCAGGGGAGGTAAGTGGAAACCCAGACTTGGGATCTGATAACTATTTTAATGATTTGTTTTATTGTGTTCGTAGCATCACCCTTGGTGGATTTGGAGCAGATCGTTTCTACTTGGGACAGTGGCGGGAAGGTTTGGGAAAACTCTTCAGCTTTGGTGGCCTTGGAATATGGACACTAATAGATGTGCTGCTAATTGGAGTTGGATATGTGGGACCAGCAGATGGCTCTCTCTATATTTAACCACAGTCTGCTTCAATATAGACATTTGGGAAGGGCCTATATAAAGAATGTAAAACAATCCTGGACCTTCTAGAAGAACTAACAAAACTTGTTCTGTGTGTACATATATTTTAATGTACAGTATCTGTACGTAGATTGCCTTTTAACTAAGGTAAAATGAATGAGTGGATCACTGAACAAAGTATATTTGAAATGGATTTCCTTGTGAATGCTTCTTCTGTGAAGGCAGTAAGTTTCACAGCTAAATAAATTCTGCACTGTTCTTGAACTTGATTAGATATTAAGTATTGAAGACATGTAAACTAATCCAAATAATAAGTTGTGCATTGTTCACCTCACATTTGTACATTGTCTGATTTGTCAAGCAACTTTTCCTAAATGTCTGCAAGAACATTTTCATATTTATAGCAAGATAAGTTTCTTGGCTAAGCCTAAATGACTTGGACAAAGGCAAACCACTATATATTATATTCTTAGTTGCATACAGTTTTTCTGCTTTACGTTTTAGGATAACACAAATTAATCATTTTGTTTGTAGATCTTGTAGCTGTTTAGAATTAGGGTGCAATAATTCCAAAAATCCTAAGCCTGAAAATACTTGAAAACTACATTGTAGACCTCTTTCCAGCATGTGGCCCTCCCCACCCCCCACAACAAGAGCTGCCTGGGACTTAAGAGTCCTAGAAACAGGTAAGATGCCACCCTTGCCGTCCCCGCAGGGCAGGCACCTCCCCTCTCCAGCAGGGTTTGCCTCTGGGCACAGGAAGTGGGGTGCAGCTGTGCTCCTGTAACCCCCACCCCCACTCTGGCCCTGGATCGATGGCTGTATATTGCATATTTTTGTGCTTGGTAGCTTAGAGATGGCAAAGTCAGTAAAACCAGCTGTCTTTTTTTAAATGAACGGAAGATAGGATGGTGATGATGTACTTTCTTATTAAACTATGGTACAATGTAATAAAATCTCACTGACCTGGAAGAAGGCTGAAACATTTGCTTTTGAGAAAATAAATTCTGTTGTTTTATCGCTCATTAAAAAATAAAGCAAAACCTGCTCCTCTCCTCTGTCTACCTCCCCGAACTTTGACTGCGGGGCTTCTGCGCCGAGGGCTGGGCTGGGCTAGGCTGGGCCGGGCCGGGCCGTGCTGTGCCCCGCCTCCGGAGTGCGCGGGGCAGGGGGCGCCCGCGCCCAGGGGCTGGGGGACGAGCCCGAGCGGCGCTTTTACCGGGAGCTGCCCAAAGTGGTGAGTGGGACGGGGGGCTTCCCTCTGCGCCCGGGCCGGGACCGGTGTGGGTGTGGGCTCTCGGGAGCACCGGGGCCGGGCGGAGGCGCGGGCAGCGCGGGGCGCGCCGGCTGCAGAGGGCGTCTGTCGGTGTAGCCTCCAGGCTAGTCCGTATTCAGAGACGGCGCCACAGTCAGCAGCGTGGCTGTCCTTACCCCAGCTGGGCATCTGGTCGGATAGAGGAGCTGGCCCTAGGCAATCCTTGCGTCACAGCTCGGACCATCACAGCCCAACATCCCCCTCTCGCCCCTGCTTCTTAAGAAGCCTAGCGAGGCCCATGTTGCCCCGACTCCGGGGAAGCAGCTCTCCCATCTTTCCTGCTTTGTCTTGAGTGCTGGCACCACAAACAGGCCCAATCTTTGCCCGGGCTTTCACCAGATCTGTAGTTTTCTCACTAGTCAATCAATTCAGCATAATCTTTCACTTTTTTCTTTTCCGGAGGCTAGCCCAGCAAGGTTGCCTGTGATAACGCTCATTTCTACGCCCCAAAGGGTGTGGTGTATCCCTGCTATCGCGGTTTGCTGCACATTCCCAGAACTCGTCCGCGCTGCAGTTCGGGAGTCTGCTAACGGCACCGCTTCCGTTTCAGAGCTTTACACAGGCAAAGTGCCTGGCTGCAGTCCAGAAGTGAGGTGTTCAACTGAAACTCTCCGTTTCCCCTCCTCTCCCTTTGCATCTGTATGTTCTCACTGGAAAATGAAGACATCCTTGCAAGCTATTCTGTCTCTTCAGACATGGCAGATTTTAACCAGAAACATAGCAAGGAGTTTCACTGACATGATATGTGTAATATGACCTACTCCTTTCATTAGATTCCACATCTGGATTTGCTTTCCAGCCAGAGTTTCTGTTTAGTTAGAGTTATGGGTGCTTATGGCTGCTAGGCCCCCCTTGCCTTTGCTTGTGCTTCGAATAATGTGATGTGCTCTGTTTTATCTTTTAACCAATATACATTAACAAATATTTTACAGAATTAAAGCTGGAGATAGTTAAAATTATAGCAAAATTTTCAGTCAAAGGTGGTGTTAAAATACTTTGCAGTTCTTTGTTCTAGTAAAAATAAGTATTGGGGAGGATATTTAAAGGTTCACAACAGTCTAGGTGTTTTGCAAATAAGATTTGAAGTCAGATGAAGAGGCACAGAAGGGGTGTTCCTCATGACAGGAATAACAAGATTGTGGGAAGAGACAGATGTGTATAGTGCTAGATGAAGTGGAGAGCTGAGTATAGGATGATGGGGTCTAAGAGTGGCTGGAGTCAGTTGGTCTCAAAGGCTTGTTTCTGAAAGCTTGTGTCTAAATCTTTTCGAACCATGCAGTTGGGTCAGCAAAAATCTTTCATATAAATGTTTGACTTTTGCATAGTTTCTAGGATAATGCTAGAGAAATGAGACAAATAAGTACAAGTAAAATGGAATAGAAGCAATAATGTTTACTAAAATCTTGTGATTTTGCATTGATCTAGGAGCTTCATGCCCATTTGAATGGCTCCATCAGTTCTGCTACTATGAAGAAGCTTATGGCCCAGAAACCACATCTTCAGGTCCCTAATGGGATGACCATGATTGACAAAGGGAAGAAAAGAACCTTAGAAGAGTGAGTATATAGCAGGGGTGGAGCTACAATTATTTTGGCTGGAGGGCCACTTAAGGAGTTTTGGTGAGCTCTTGAGGGTGGGGGGTGGGGTGTTGACCCAGATTTGGCCCCTGTCACAGCTGTTTACAGTGCCCAGGGGGGTGGCCCCAGAGAAATGCAAATTTATTTTCTTTGGCCCAGGCCCTTCTGCCCCACATCCACCCCCAGGAGTGCCGGACAGGGTGGGTGAGTGGGCAGTGGCTGGGGCTGGGATCACAGGGTGGTGACAGCATGGGAACAGGGCCTGGGCAAGAACTGCGATCCGCTCTCCTCATGAACCAGCACTCATCACAGGGATGAGAATGGAGCGAATCATGGCTCTGCCTCGGGCCCTGGGTTTGTGCTGTCACGACTCAGTGATTCCAGGCCCCGCCTGCCCATCCTGCTCCTGGACACCACTCCCTATGCCTCCATCTCATCTGCTGGGCTGTGTGCGCTTTACCTGTGCGGGGTATCAGGCTGGTCTCCATGAAGACCCCACTCTGTCCAGTGCCTCTGGCAGTGGGTGCAGGGCAGATGGGCCTGGGGTCACTGTACCCACTAAGCTGTGTGCATGCGTGCGTGGCCACGCACAAGTAAAAATCTTACTACGCACAAACTTCTTAAGGCTGCGCACCTGCCTGGAGCAGAGCTGGGCGCAGAGTGTGGTGGAGGCACCAGAGCCTGCATGGGACACTTACCAAAGGTAAGCTCCTCACTCTTCATGCAGGGCAGGCAGTGGCTCCTCCCCAAGGCAGGGATGGGGACAGAGACAGGGCTGGGGGTGGGGGCTGGTGCAGGCTCCGCAGGCTTCAGCTCCAGGGAACTGCTCCACTCCCCTGCATAACCTCAGGGAGTGAGGAGGCACATGGCATCAGGGCTGGGGAGTGGAGCAGTTCCCTGGAGCTGAAGCCTGCGGAGCCTGCACCAGCCCCCACCCCCAGCCCTGTCTCTGTCCCCATCCCTGCCTTGGGGAGGAGCCACTGCCTGCCCCAAGTGAGGCTCTGCTGGCTCCAGGAAACTGCTCCTTGGGCTCTGCTGGCTCCAGGGAACTGCTCCGCTCCCCAGCCCTGATGCTACGTGCCTCCTTGTTTCCCGAGGCGATGTGGGGAAGCAGAGCAGTTCCCCGGAGCTGGCAGAGCCTGCGGAGCAGTTACCTGGAGCCGGCAGAGCCCATGTCAGCCCGAGCCCCTGTCCCCACCCTTGCCTCGCCTCAGGGAGGAGCTGCTGCCTGCCCTGCACGAGGAGTGAGGAGCTTACCTTAGGTAAGTGTCCCGCACTGGCCCCGGTGCCTCTCTTTCAGTTCTATCGATTGACTGTGTCCAGCCCATGGCTGGGCCACGGCACTCCACTGCACTGCTCTGGGCAGTAGTTAGCATGGAGAAGGGTGTTGTCCGAACCCTGCCCACTCCCACCTGGACACTTACTTTGGGACACTTACCGAAGGACCACGCCATGCCGAAAGGGGAGGCAGGACCGAAGTGGCACACTCACGGACCAAAGTGGCTTACTCACGGACTGCTACTCCTTAGAGGGAACATTGCCTGGGGTATCTGGGCAGCAGGGCTGGGGTCTGGTGGCAGGGTACACACCTGTTCCTAGGTGGCAGAAGTGAGGGCCACCAGGAAGCTGTCCAGCTGCTGTCATGCTGCCTCCGCACTGCCATCAAGAGCTGTGTGCAAGGATAGGGCAGGCTGCGCCAGATGGCACCTCTGTGCCCAGGACTGGCTGCACACGCCATGGACAAGTCTGCCCATTTAATGCAAATTAAATGTGTATCCTATGTTGTTTGTACTTAGATTGCTTTTCATTTTTATATGGGATTTTTCATTATACCAACAGGCTTTTATATTCTTGTTTTTAGATGTTTTCAGATGTTTCAGATTATTTATCAGATTACCAGTAGGACTGAAGATATATTAATGGTAAGTTAAATATAGCTTGTCTTAAAAATAATCTGCCCTTTCTCTTTTTCCAAAACAACTCCTTGGAAAGGTAGCAAAATCAGTTATTGCACTTGTATCTGTGACCAGTTGCATAATTAAACTAAGTGTAAATGAGTGGGTTTAGAGTTTCAGCAATCTTATCTTCAAATGGCAAGCAAAAATTATTTTTGTACAAGGTGTGATTTTAAAATTGGATGTGCTGTCAGGTGACTGAGTTGATGTTCACTTAAAGTAGAGTGCGTCTGCCCTTGTTTACCTAAGCTTTGATTTACAATAGTGCCCTTTTAGTTTATTATTTCTGTGTACTTGTAAGAGTCATGACCTAGAGATGTAACATGTTCACTTTAGGTTCTGTCTGACAGTAGAAATGATGGGAATTGAAGACAGGGCATGATTTTCCACCTTCCCTCTGTAAAAGGGTTTTCAGGTCAACGCAACTGTAAAAAAGGGCAGGTGTGGCTGAGGGAGTGGTCATGTTTGTGGCAGCTGAAGGACATCTTTAGTTAGTACATTGCCAGTGAAATTCCCTATGTTCAGAGCTCCTGTGGTGCCCCAGTAGAATTGAAAGTTGTCCCCCACTAACGGTATTTGTAGAGAAGGACAGCTGAGTAAGTACCAAGAAATTTAGACAACTCTTGCTGAAGTTAATGGAAACAGAAATAATTTCTATGCTTCACATTCTAGTGCCTTTATTTTTTTCAAGAGTCATTTGCTGTAGAAAGAAATTGTAATTCAGATTATTTTTATGTTCTTTCATTAGGTAACTAAAGATGTTATTAAAGAATTTGCTGCTGATGGTGTCAAGTATTTGGAGTTAAGAAGCACACCTAGAGAGGAAACGGCAACAGGTACCACCTGTTTTGGCGCTCAGTTACTAGAAACGTCCTAATTTTAAAGTTATTGTTGAAGAATGTATGTTTGATAGTAGTTATTTAAATTAAGAATTCAGTCGATTCAATAAATATGCAATATGTGATGTATTTGGGAGCAGATCACTGGAGACCACTTTATACTGTATTGATTTATTGTCAAGTCTTTCATACAGGGACAGGTTTGTACTTGTAATTCCAGTGAAGTCCAATCAACTCTCTGTGTGTGTGTGTGTGTGTGTGTGTGTGTGCGCGTGTGTGTGCAAGGTTTCAAATATAATTATTTTCCGCGAACTTTGCAATGGAAATGATGTGGTAAAATGTTACTTTTTGCAAGAATTTTGGAGCAAATGCATTTTAGCCATCTTCATCTTCAGTGATGATTTTAGGCTGTTCATGGTATCCTGATTTCTGTGTTTTTTATGGTTCTAATATAATAGCTACCAGTCTCTCTTTCTTATTTCTCTTAAACATTTGTATTTTTAAACAAATGGCTAAATATAATAGCATTATAAAAGTCTACTATCATTTAATATTAGATTCTGACTCATATAACGTGATTTTTTTGTTTCTCCACAAAGTCAGAGCAGACTCAAAGCAAAAGTAGGCTTAAAGTAAAATTGTATTTGTCAGTAAAATGATTACTTTACAAATAGTGAAATCAAGGTACGAAATAAAACTATTAGGATGAAATCCATCCCGAATGTATAAAATCAAATAGCAAAATGAAAAGAAAAGTTAAAATGAAAAAAACTTTTCATGGAGAGGCTGGGGTTCAATAAAATAGAATTATATAATCATTCTCATTTTCTCAGTTCAGTTCACATGGATCTATATTCTGTTTTGTGTTTTTATAGGTATGACCAAGAGGATGTATGTAGAAACTGTACTTGAAGGAATAAAACAGTGTAAAGAGGAGGACTTGGATATTGATGTAAGGTAAATTTAAATACATGAAATTTGATTTGGGGTTTTGTTCTGAGCCTGACAGGCAGCCCAGTTCTGCAGAGTGGTTTACAAAGCACAAGTACAAATTCCTGGAGCAACTCTGGGAACAGGAGCTGGGGTGTCAGTTGCTCCCTGCTCCACAGCTGCAGGCACTGCTTCACAGTGTGGGACATAAGTAGTTAGGGAACCAGGAGCTCCCAGCTGCCCATTCCCTGTACCATGGGTTCTGGTACACAGGGAACTTTCAAGAGTGTGTCTGTAGATGAGCTTTTTAAAATTCCTCAGGTGCTTGGACACAAACAGTGGGGAGAGGCTACCTGGTCTCTGTTCCTGGCATACTGGGAGGTTTAAGGAGTGGGCAGAGGCAGCTTCCCTATTGGGGAATTTACACTACATGCCTTGCAGTTCTGGCCAGGCTGCCAGAACATAGAGCGGGGGTGGTGGGGTGGTCAGAGGCTACTGGTGGGGCGTAAAGTCCTTAGTGGCTCCTCCAGTATTTGGAGCTTTTGATACCCTGTGCCCAGCAGCCCAGCCAGAGCTGCTAGGCACAGGGTTTCAACAATTGGTTGATTGCAGCCTGGTTGAGATGGGGCCAACAATCTATTGATTTGTCAGCTCAGCACACTAGAGACTGTAATTCATAACCTCCAGCTGACACTCAGCTGATTGGTTGGCTCTGGCTCCCAGGATCACACCAGGAACTCAACCTAGCTCCTGTGTGGGCCCAGCCAATCTGACAATATGCTAATTCTGGGGTTCAGTCCTGACAATCAGCTGATTGCTAGCTTCAGCCCCAAACCAAACTGGAGTCAGTTTGAGTCCGTGATATGATCCCAAGGGTCCAGAGTGAACAAATTGGCTGCGATTCAGCCTGGGGTTATGATCAAAAGCTCCCTCTGCACTGGCAAGTAGTAAGGGCTCAACTGGCATCTGATCCCAATAATCATGTGTCCTGCCATACTTAATGTGGCATGACAAGAGGTGCAATTATTGGGATCAAGGATCAGTTCCCGTTACACCATTAAATGAATACATGCCAAGCAGGCCTGTGCGAAGCTTCGGTCCCTGATTCAATTCGGCAGAGATTCGGCCCAATTCAGTGGCCGAATCTCTGAATCTGAATCAGAGGACCTTTTAATCTCTCTGAATCGACTCGGAACCCTCCAAATGAATTAGGAGATTTGGACATAGTCGCAGCTTTAAATGTTTTTTCTACATACCTCTAGGTAGCAGGTGGCTCGTGAATGCTGCGATGCTGGGGCTCATGGAGTGTCCCACAGAAGTGCAGGGGGGCTCCCCAGTGCGCTTGGCAGCAGACCCAGAAGTGGACCGGAAGCCTGTCTGGTCCACTACTGGGTCCGCCGGGGAGGGTGTGGAGGCCCCCCCTCGCGCCCTCCCAACTTAGCAACTGGTGCCGCCTGGGGAGGGGTACCCAGGGTCCCTTGTGGCCGATCACTGAGCTGGGGAGGTGCAGGGGTGCCCCCCAGCACGCTCCCTGGCAGACATGGAAGTGGACCAGAAGAACTTCCAGTCCATTTCCAGGTTCGCTGCCAAGCATGTGGAGGCGCCGCGCCCCCCACCCCCCCGTGGGACACTCTATGCGCCCTAGCATCACAGCGTTTGCAAGCCGCGCTGGTACCTCGAGGTATGTAGAAAAAACATTTAAAGCTGTGTCTATGTCTGAATCGCTGATTCTCTGAATCAGCACCAAATATTCAGATGCAGATTCAGCCGAATCGAATCAGGGACAGTGATCTGAATTAGTGACTTGAATCCCTGTCCCTGATTCGGGCCGAATCCAAATCGAATAGAGCCCGCTTCGCACACCTCTAATGCCAAGGGCCAAAGTGAACCAGTTTATGCAAAGTCAGAGTTAAACCCAGCTCTGTATGTTGTCAGTATACATCCAGTCCTTTGTTTCAGTACATGTTGATCTTGTAAGCATTTTTCTGGATGGCATACTGGCAAAGTTGTGCTAGTATCAAAGCAGGCATTTATGGGGCAGAGTTGTCACTTAGCGATCGACATAACATTGCCAAGTGTTAAGCATGCATAAATACTTGTAGTCAGTGAGAGTAAGAAGCAATCTTTTAAATTGTGAATTCAGTGTTCTTTTTACAGTAATAGTTTTTTCTCTGTTATCACCATGCATATTGAACGTAATCTGTACATCTCCATTTTAGACTTTTAATAGCAATAGATAGAAGAGGTGGATCAACAGTTGCCAAGAAGACAGTGAAACTTGCTGAGGAGTTCTTCCTTTCTACTGATGGGATTGTTGTAGGGCTTGACCTCAGTGGTGATCCCACTGTAAGTAATTCTTAGGGCCCTGCTGTATGTTCAAATTAAGCTGGATAGAAACCTGCTATAGAGTTGTTACACATTTTTGAGTACTAACTTTATAGTGGGTTGGCTCTTTATAGCTGGAGAGTCATTTTTATTGTGTGATCATTCCTTTGTATTTGTGGCGGGTCTAAATTTTTTGCACAATTGGCCAATTAATTGTGTGATCATTACTTTGCACATGTGGCCACTAAATCTATTGCACTATTGACCAATTCATTGTGTAATGCAAGATTGTCCAACATATGGCCCACAGGTTGCCATGTGCCCTCCAAGCTGTTTTCTGAGGCTCGAGGTGCTGTGACAGGAAACAAAAGTAAACACTGCACTTTAGTTTCAGTGGGGTGATGTGATACCGCTTCCTGTGAGGTCTTTGAATATGGCTTGCTGGCCCACTGGGTGATTAAAAAGTTCATGATCTGGCCCCACATTCAAAAAGGTTGGACACCCCTGATGTAATGCATGTAACATGTAGCAGGGGCCTAAAAGGTAGAAACTTTTACACTGAAATAATTGTGTTTTAGTCTTTGGGCTCTTTTCATGTTAGTTGCTGGTTAAATGTTTCACTTCTTAAACTATTTAAAATAATGCACAAAGCTATTAAAAAGGTATCCTAAAAGCAACTTCTGAACCTAACAACTATTTAGTAGAAGATGCTTTTTTTGTATTGTCTGATTGGGGTAAAGACATATTAAATAACATCAAGACTGATATAAAATGTAATCTAAATGTACAAGCATCTAATTTCCTTTTTTTATAACATAAGGATAAGTGGTTGAAAACCATGTTTTTCAACATTTAGGTGAGATGTCTTCTCTTCTAGTTTTACACAGTGATAATGGGAAGAAATCATTTTGAGGACTCCTGCTGACTTGAGTCAGTATTGCATTGTCCCAAACTAGAACTGTTGTTGTTTAACCCAGTTTTGTTCTCAATTTATATTTTGACTGATGTGGGAGTTTGATCAGTAAGTATGATCAAACTTTGACCCACTTCATTTGAAGAGTGAGCAATAGCAAAAGAAAACTGATTTACAAGTTTTTGATTGAATTACTTGGATATTGTTAGACTTCGTAATGACTGTATAATTGGAATGTTTTTGTAACAGTGATCATGCATTTCTGTTTGGCTTTTATCTTCAAGGCAGGACATGGTAAAGACTTTTTTGAGCCCTTAGCAGCAGCCAAACAGGCAGGTCTAAAGTTGGCATTGCATCTCTCAGAGGTAACTTTTTATGTTTGCCTTTCTCTATTGATCTTTAAATGAAAAAAATCTGGATATTGAGTTTTTCAAGTCTAATCAATGTGGATTGTGGCATTGTAAAGAGAGGGAGGTGAGGATGGAAGGAGAAACTGTTAAGTATTTGCACTTATATCTCCTGAAAAATTACGAAACCCCCCCCCACTAGGCCGCTTAAACAAATTTATTTTCATGTTTCCACTTGAGATACATACAGGTTCTAATATTGTTTATGAAGTCATGAAAACACCTCAGTGGCAGAGTGTTTTGTCAATTGCTGGGTTTTTTACTAATTTTGTAAAGAGCAATGCTGTAACTGATCTAGTTCAGTGGTGTTCAACCTTCTGGCCCTGCAGGCGTATTAGTGGTATGGTGCCAGTCTGTGGGCTGAATTTCATGCATAGAGTCAATCCACGGGGCTGGTATAGTATAGGATCAGTGTGTGGGATCAGTTCATGCATGTGATCTAGTGAATGGGTACAGCCCTGTGCACTGGATCCAGGCACACACATGAATCCAACACCATGCACTGTGTCTGACTGCATACCAATTTGATCCCATGCACCAGATCTAGCTATGTAGTGGCCATAATTTCAAAACAAAGATCCACTTTCTTGGTCTATAATGATCACTGCAGTGTAATAACTAACATCAATTTATTTCTTCTTAATACTTGTTTCATTACTAAAATGTTCTAATGAACCCTCGCCTCTTCCTTGGGACTCCCCTCTTTTCCCCTTAGAGTTGAGATATGACCCAGGTGACTACATGGGCCATACATTACTGAGCTGCATTATGGTACTTTGATAGATTCCAAGTCAAGAACAAGAGACCAAAATTCTCCTTGGCTTGCCTCCAGACAGAATTGGACATGGCACATTTCTTAATTCTGCAACGATAGGTTCAGAGGACCTGGTGCAGCTTGTCAGACAGAGCTCTATACCTATAGGTAAGAAAGAAGATGAAGCCCATTTGGCAATATGCAGGCTTTAACTTACTATATCTTACAGTGGAATTGGTAAGTTTTAGTAGTATCTTTGGGCATTTTTACATATACTCCAGGAGTGGGACAGGGGTGCTTTAATTAGAGTGGCTCCAAGAGCTTCTCTAATTAAAGTGCCTAGAGTGTCTTGTGTATCAGTGTCCCCACGCTGAAAAATGGTGGCAGGGGCCCTTTAACTAAAGTTCGTCAAACGAGCGTTAAAGCACCCCCCGCCACCATTTCTCAGTGTGGGGACACTAATAAACAAGACTCTGGAGTCAGCTGGAGTGTGGTACTTACCACACTCCAGCAGACTCGATTAATCAAGTCTGCTCCAATGCACTGTAATTATAGCACATTGAAGCAGGCTTGCTGCACTTGTATAGGTGCCCTTTCAGAGGTCACTATGGAAAGATATTTGTGATGTGGAGATAGATGTAATATGAGAAATAAGGCACAGGCGCTGCTAGCCATTCATGTTTTCACTTAAAATGAATTGCAATATTTTTCAACATTTTTTAAAAATTTCCATTTAGTCACCCTTTATTAGTTATCTTGTACATGTGTGTATGCACATGTTGCTTCATAAAGCCATATGTATAGGATTAATTACAGTGGAAAAAAAGGACAAAAAGAGGCATAGAGATCTGGAATATAAAACATGATAAAACTGCTTGATGTTTATACTTGACTGGTTAGGAACCAATAGGTTCACTATTAAATTCAGTTGTGTGTCATCTTAAAGGACATAGCTTTATAGGACAATTTAGTGGCTTTTATATAGAGTACTCATTGTTTTATACATGCTTAAAATAGATATGGACAAAATAATTGTGATACTGGAGCACTGATTCACCTAGTCTCATACCATGCTGTGCTGATCCTGATAGGAAAACTAAAAATCAAAACAACAGATTTGAGCAGTCATGCAATATCATGTATTGTATATGTGTTCTTGTCCTGCAAAGTGTATTAAAACTAGTGAAGTTTACACCTATCCACTAATGAAAGTTTTACTCTGAGGTTTAAACTGGTTTTGAAGTAGCATTTACCAAACAAATACAAAAATACCTGTTGTTCAGCTATGGATTGAAAGACATCTGTTAATCTACCCACCCCCACAAACAGTGCGTTTGTTTAATACTGCCTTTTTTTCTTTGAATATATACTTTTTCCCATTAGAAATTTGTATGACTTCAAACATCAAAACTCAGACTGTACCTTCCTGTGATAACCACCATTTTGGATATTGGTACAAGATGGGCCATCCTGCTGTGCTTTGTGTAAGTCATTTTCACTATAAAGAATTCATTGAGATAATGAGTATAAAGAACATGGACACTGGATCACTAGAGCCAATATAGAGAAACATATCTGCTGCTTATTAGCAGGGATCCTGGTTTTCCCTGATAAAAAAATCGCAAAGTTTCTGATAAACCCCCCCAAATCTGTGATTAAAATGAAAGGCCCCTCACTCCCTCCGAGTTCACACCCGGCAGCCTGCCTCTGCCCACACCCCGCGCACATATCTGGGGGGCACGGGTCCCCCTTGCCTGCCCCCAGCCCCCCGGGTGAGCTGCCTGCTGCCCCGTCCTGCTTGGGGCCCTGTGTTTTCCTGTTGTTTTATAAATTGTTTTCCTTTCTATTGGCATTGTTTACACCTGATATTATGGATGAAATATATAGCTATTGAGCAAATGTAGTAAGAAATATGTATGAACTGCATTAAAATGTGAAATACTGGAGGATCGAATGGCTCTAAGTTGATTTTTCTATTTTTTCAAAATTTAGAAGTACTAATTTTTTTAATTTTATTCCAGACTGATGATAAAGGTGTCTTTGCAACAGATCTGTCTCAGGAGTATCAACTGGCCGCTAAAACATTTAACCTCAGCCCAGCACAGATGTGGGACTTATCGTATGAATCAATCAACTATATCTTTGCTTCAAGCATTGTAAAATCAAAGTTAAAGGAACAATGGTGTAAACTGAAACCAAGCCTGTTAGTTAATTAAACTGTAGCTGTGAATTGCTGAAAACTGAATATATTAGCTCAGTTAATAAGGGTGTTTTTTGAGAGAGAGACTGGCCTTTTTGAGATTTAACAGCTATATGGTCCAGTTCTTTGTGTACATGTATCAAGAGCAATTGGAACAGACCCTTATTTGGCAAGCTCCTTTCCAGATGCTGCCTGGAAAGAGTCAAGTGATAGGAAAATGAAAATGATGGAATTTATTTCACATCCACCTGCTTGAGGGAAAATATTTTTTAAAAGTACGGTTTGCTCAAATGTGTTCACAAAAATTGGACAGTCAGAACCAAATAAAAGGGCTGGAATAGAATAGAATACAGAGCTGGCCAAAATGTGCCAAGCAGCATGCATTTGTCTTTCTGTATCAGTCGTAAGTAAGCTTGTTGAACAGAAAGATAAGGAACAACTTCAGGGAGAAAGATAATTCTTTGTACTCAGGTGACATATTCCAACTGCTTTTGCACATGGAGATGTTGGACAAAACCTACGATGGCTTGTTTAAATATACATGCTACTGTACAGTCCAGATGGGCTGTATAAATAGTTGCACACTTAATGTTGTAGGGGCTCTATGTTGCATTGCTAAGTAGAAAAACTTGTAAAGAAATTCAGCTTTTTTGGGCCTCACTTCTAAAATGTTTTTAACAATGGAAAATTGTTTTCCTCTTTTCATTTGTTTTCTTAAAAGAGCATGTTTATTTCTGCATGTCTTCAAAACCAGTTTCCTTTGTGTGCATTGTTTTCAGACTAGAAGTAAGGCAGTTCTGCAGCAGATTATGTAAGGTAATTGTATAAGGGATGCTTTTTTTAAATTACTAGTACCATTTGTGTTTTGACAAGAGAGGGAGCTATTTAGTTCAAGAAGAGAAGTACATGTGCATAAATTTCTACCTTAGGTCTGTCATTCTGCAGAGAATCTGATGCAGCCTGGTCAGTACATATTTCCTGCAGCCCTGAGGATATGTAAATGCAGGAGAAAAAAAAGTTTGAGCTCCTGTTACTCAGAACCACTCCTCTCCCAGTATACTGCCTTTTTACAATGCTAACAGAAGTAGAAAGTTTTATTGAAAGTTTGGAGCAACTATCCTTTTGCTAGACTGTATTGTGCCAGTGCCTGTGAGAACAATTGCTGAATGACTTTTGTATGTTGACAGGTATCTGTAAAAGGGCCAGGGGCAGGGATTGTCTTTGTCAAAAGAAATATTTATTTTGCCTGAATCTGCCAGATGCTCAATGAAGTGCAACCTTTTCAAGAGAAGGGGATCTTGCAAGAGATGACATGCCCAAACTCCACAAACCTAATGATAGGATCTCGGTCCTTGGTCCTCTGTACATCATAGCAACTTGATAGCTTAACCAATTGAAAACACAGTTTGAAACCTAGAGTATCAAGATAGAAATACATTGTTTAAAACCATAGTAAAAGGCAGATATTTTTTATTTTAATACAATAAACTCATTTAAAAAACATTTGAAATTATGGCAGTCTGTCATGTACTTAAATAAAAATAAGTCTTTTAAGCTTTGACAGGTAAGATGTACTGTGCAAGTCAAACCACTGAAATGAGTGAATTCACTGGCTAAGCACCTGGAACTAGTGTTTGATGAGATGAGAAGTCTGCTTTTGACAGGAGTAGGGTCTTTTTGGGAGCAGAGAGAATACTGTATTTTCAGAATTTTTAGTTCAGTTCGGTTCATTCAGAGCTGAGAAAGTAAGAAAATTTGTTTTCTTTTCCAGTGTTAAAATAAGTTAGGTGTGAAAGCCTGAGATCTACTAGTTCTCAAAAATTGGAGGACATGGTAACTAGAAAAATGATTTTAGTTCACTGCTCCAAATACTACCTCACTGAGTAAATGTTAGTTTTAAATGCAAAACATATTTTGATAAGTTTTTTCCCCCTTTATGTATCTAGGAAATTGACTGCAGTTTTATTTGAGCAATAAAAATAATTTTAAAATGGTGGTTGTTGCATTTAATTGAATTCCAACTTGGCTTCAAATGCAGCTAATTCAAATACAGGTAGTATGGTATTTACCCGAATCCAAGACAGTCTCCCAATAATTAGATTCTACACCTGGAAAATATATATATTTTAAAATAATTTTTCCAGGTATAGAATCTAATTATTGGAGGGGTGTCTTTAATTCATCTGCCCCACCACTGATACTATCTGACATCCAGTTTTCACTTGCTTGTAACTTTGCCAGACTTCAGCCATTCAGGTGGCTGGACAGTTTTGGAATAAATCTGGTGCAGTTGTCTGTAGGATCTGTACCTTATTTGGTGCAAAAATTGGAAGGTATATACCGAATGAGGCAGAAAGAGAAAGAACACAGTTGTGGCTAAGGCAGCAAGGAACATAGGAATGGATGGGACCTCCTGGGTTATTGAGTCCAGCCTCTGCTTCTACCACCTCTGCACACCCAGCCTCCAGTTCTCCCTATAGAAGCAGTGAGATAGGGGTGGGAAGGCAGGGAGCAGCTGCTGCTACGGCCCCAACCCCAGTCGCAGCAGCTGCCTGCCTCCCACCCCCTGCTCTCCACTGCCCTCAGACTTGATTCTGTGATAATGGGGCTTCCTCCCATATTAAAGAAAAAAGACTAGTCTTAGAATGATGGTAGTTATTCAGTAAGAAAGATGATGGTCACTACTTTCAAGCACAATCGAATTAAAAAAAATGAGGTTTTGAATAAAAATGATATAATATTGTTTAAATGTGTATGGAAAGTACCAAATTTAGGGGGAAAGCTGTATTTAGTTGCAAATCGACCTATCTCATTGGCTATCAACCTGTGAGAACTAACATTTTTTGAAAATTACCAAGAAATAGCAATGCAAAACAAGATTTGTGTTATTAAATAAAAGGTTTTTATGTGCTAATTCAAATCATAATCAAAACACACAATTTAAACCTCTTTAATTTAACTCAGTCCACACTGCTGGTGACAACAGTTGGAATACTTGGTTGGCAGATGCGCTCTCTCATATAGACATTGCTTAGCAGTAAGCCTCTAGTTTTCACTAAATGATGAGAAACCCAGGAGAGGGTTATTCTTTTTCCACTGGGAATACTCATTTCTTTCAGGTGACGTCAGTTCAGATATGACTTCCTAGCAGCAGGTAGAAAAAGGAAACAATCATAGCTTAGTGATGTCTTCTTAAAAAAGCTCTGTTTTGGCTGAGTATTTAAGTCCTTTTCTGTGTCCCAGCAGATTACTTGTAGATGTCTAAATTAGGGATCCAATTGTTGATTACACCATGTTTAGGTAGCTGCTGTTTATATACAGGTAAGGAAAAAAAGAAGAGCCAGCTATTATGTTCCAAGCATCCTCAGTCCTACAATTTTTATGCTCTGGAGCCAGAGCCTTAAAGCACTCCAGGGTCAGGACCTGGGTCATGTGCTTTTATTCTCTGGCCTCAGTTCTCCATTTCTGACCCCTTCTGTACACTTTGAAGTTTTGTCCACAGAAATAAATGTTTGTCACCATGGGATTACATGTGTTAGCATGTAAGCTTGATCCAAGATGGCAAAACACAACTTGTCTGTTGGCAAAATGACCCCACACCTCTTTGATGGCAGAAACCCTCAGCTGGCAAAAAGACACTGGCAGGGTCTAGCACAGATGATGCATTGTTTGTGCTAGCTGTAACAGTCCTGTCTTTATCACGCTGCCAGTCACTACTGCATGCTTGTATATTTTGCAAATACAGAATAGTGCCACCTCTCTGTTAGCTCATGAGTTCTCAAGTCTGTTTATGTGGGATCCAAGCTGAAGCAGACAAATGAGAAGTATTGGATTGTTTTAAATGGTGCTGCTGAAAACAACAGAATGGATAACTGGGACTGAAAGGAATTGTGGAAGGTGGACTCTAAGCACTGGTATCTCTCTTGCTACTGCACTGCTATCCCACTGAAGAAATGTTCCATGATGTTTGCATCTAAAATTCAGCTTTAACTGACAACCACACCTGAAGAGAACAGCATAAGCACTCAAATACATGCATACTCTGGTTATGAAGTAGTGGGGGCTGTTGTAAACTAGCAAAATGTGGTAGTAACAGTTCCTAGTCTAGGATCAATCTAGAAACAAGTGATATATGCAAATTGCTGTGTGATACTTGTGTCTCCATTTAGAGTAAGAGTTCATGTTAAAACTGCTGGTCCCAGCAGATGGAGTGTTCTGGAGAAGAGAATAAAAAGACAAAAGCCAAGATCCCCTGATGGGAAATCCTATTGCTAACACTGATTGGCTGTATGACTTAGGCAAGCCACTTTACTGTTCTAGTTTCCTATTCAGTACAGTGGAGATAAGGCAATGTTTCTTATGGATGTTGTTAGGTTCTGTTGGCTGATATTTCAGGCATGTAAAGCAGTATGCCAATGTAGGGGTCTGCCTGGACAGAACACATTGCAGAATCAGAGTGATAACTTTATAGCTATATACATGTGCATAATAGTAAGTAGTAGTTCCTACCAGGTCTGAGTATTTGCGGTGGTGTATGTATTCTGTATATTTTCCTGCAAGCCACTTATAGTGCACTCTGATCATGTGGAAGTACATACAATTGAATGTGGATGATGGACTTCCCATACACATCTGCACTGAAACAAAAGATCTCCACTAAAGAATAGAAGATAGATTTCACAGCAGCTGAGGCTGATAATTACACTCACTCCCAGGCTCTATCCTGTTCTTGTTGAGATCAAGAACAAAACTGTTGAGTGCTGTAGTGCTTTCCTGGGCCCTGAATTAAAGAAAATCCTCTTGAAAGAACTTTTGAAGAGGGGTTTATTATTGTTGTACTACTTTTTAGTATTATTTATGTATAATATGTAATAGTTGTAGTGTAACTTTTAAAATATAGAGGATGACTACATCTCTGATCTAAGGATCAGAGCCCCAATCTTAAAATTTCTGATTTTCAGTGAGTGCTGTAACAAGTAGATTCTTAGTAAGACATATTAAAATGCTAATATTACCTGGATCTATATTTTAAAAGCTCATTTTATCTAAAAATTAACATGTTGATATTAAAGATGAAAGTCTGGTTCTAAGCAGGATTTGAACTCCTGGTGAATTTCCCTAGTTTCCAGCTCTGCTTGGTGTAGTATGAAAGTTATGTTCCTCCACAGGATATTAAGCTGTATTGACAACATATTTCATGCTGCATATGTGATGTGAGGAGTGGGCTGTTCTGATCACCCCTGCAGTCTATGGATACCATCAGCAGGGCTACTTGCATGGTCTTTCACTGCGAATGTGCAGCCTACTAGCTCCAATACACACCATACACGGGATCAATCAGGTTTTTAATGGTATCATGGAGAAATAGGTTATGTGTTATTAGTATCCTGAATCTTCAATCGTCCGAAGTGATTATGCCTTAATGAGCATCATTTGATTCCGATTTTTCAAACAGATAAATGAATTATGCAGGTAACCTATATATAGCAAACTGGACTAATACCTGGAACCAGTTTGGGACTTTGTAACTCATGTGCCTATGCAGGTAAGTGAAGATTTAAATGAGGCATTCTCTATACAGTTTGGGCCTAACTTCAGGTCCAAAAAGGTGCTATGTTAAATATGAGATGAAATAGCTCACATTAAAAACTAATGATTTGAACAATTCCCCAGCTGGCAGGGACAGGGGACTGCAGCTGCAGGACACTTGTGCCCCACTGTTCTACACTCCTATGCATTTATTATTTTAGCCATAGTCATACTTTTCTCTTTATTATTTTGTCAGTTACTTACAAAGTACAAAAAATGACAATTTTTTTTGTAACAGGTGAGAAAAGAAGCTGTAATTAAGCTCGAGATGCACGTTCTCTTTGTCCCAGTAGTCTAGTTAAACATGAAGAAAAGAGTAGCTGCAGTTTTCTGTTTAGGGTTCATTCCTTCCTTAACTAGCCCAGAGACCGAATCAGTCACACTGCAGAAGATAAAAGGCAGATATGTGAATTTAGGCCTTGCAAATATAGTTAATGTCAGTTAATGACATTAATGACATTAATATAGTTAATGTCAGTTAATGTCAGTTCTTGGTATCATACGATACCAAGGGCTCGTATGATACTTGCTCATTTTCCAGTGTTTTCTAATACTGGAGTTAGCCAAGGTGGGAAATTTTAAGAACCATAGAGTAAAGCTGGCCTAGTTCAATATCTAGACTGCTTAGTTTTCTTATATACAAAATGCAAATAAGGCAGACAAGCATATTGATTGATTATAAATATGAATATACTCTTTGATGTGTACTTAGATTTGTTTTAAATGCATCAAACCCATGTCAAGCTTTTAAGACGAAAGTACAGTACAGGAGAATGTTTTCAAAAGTACATGAGAACAGTTGAAAAGCTTAAGTCCACCAGTGGGATTTAGGCCTGTATGCTGCCTAAGCCAGTGGTTCTCAGCCTTTTTTGTACCAGGACCCATTTGCTGTAAGCATTAATATTCAGTCCTGACCCAGTGCCCTTCATTCCCGCCCCGCTCCCCCAGTGCATGGGGCAGGGTAGGGTGTGGGTCATGGGAACTCTGCCAGCCTACAAAGGGAAAGTCACTGTTTCTCATGTTTTTGTCCTTTAAAGGAGAGTCCATTTTAAAAGTTTGTTTGTGACCTTTTCTTATATTCTTGTGACCCACTTTTGGGTCGCAACCCATGGATTGAGAAATGCTAACCGAACCAGTCTTGAGACTTGTACCCACTCCGTTTCAAAACGTTCCATTTTGCTTGACCAACTTGGACTAAAGTTACTGGAATTACTTGCAAGCAGAATTTGGCCAATGATCAGTGAAACAGGAAGAGATAAAAAGGTAAACTGTTCCTCACAAAGGCTTGCCAACAGGTCTCCAGGGTTTGATGGAGTCTGACTTTGATATAGCTGAACTGCTTTCAGTCCAGAACAGCACCAAAAGCTGCAATAAAGAAAAGTCTTGCCACAAGTTATAGTATTAATTAATGAGCAATCAATCCTTCAACCTTTTTTCCTGTGAAAACTATCGGTGACTGTGATGGTATCCTTATGTAAACAAGGGCTGTATGTCTAGACCCCACATATTTATCTAACTTGGAAAATTGCGATTTAAGTGGTATAATTGGGAAGGAGAGTGGACTTGTCTGTGCATTGTATGTCCCAAGTCATGAACATGCAGTAATCAGCTTGTCTCCCCTTGGCTGAGTGGCAGGAAGTGTTCCTAGAAGGAGAAGTGACGATGCATGTGGTCTTTTTCTGTTCACAGAGTAACCAATAGAAACAGATGTAACAGTGTATTATGGAGGAAATGGGCCTGAAATACAGTTATACTGAAGCATTTACTAGTCTCCACAAGAACGCATTTTAAGAGATGTGCTGACTGTGACTTCTCTTCTGTAGCCAATTTGTTTTGTGAGCACAGCAGGCCCACAAAACTCAGCTCATTCAGTGATGTATCTCTGAAATTTGCTATGCATCATCTATGAGGCATCTGAAATTTGCTCAAAGAGATGCTGTCCCTTCACATTTGGCTCAGAATTTGTACTGTAGCCAGTGGAGTCTTTTAAGATTCCTAGGCTTGTGTTGTTTAAGAGTTTTGCCTGTTTAAGAGTAACATAATGGAGGGGTGATGGCCAGGGCAGCAGCTCTGTGTGTTGTCTTTTTCCAGGGAGAGGGGCACAACAGTTGTTGATATGGCTGCCCCAGGTGTGGATTTGCCTTGCTTATGTCTCTGTTGGTTACTCTAGTAAAATTTTTCTTGAAAGAACATGTCAATGCTTTTAGTTTGTAACAGTGCAAAGCTGAATTTACACCTCAGGCTCATCTTCAGCAGCAACATTTTACCAAAGAAACTTAAGTATTGTTTTGTTTAATTGAGCTGGCTGAAAAAATGGCATGAGCCATGACGAGAGAGGTGGATCCCTGTCTATGCAGCAACTACAACTAGTTTTAAATTTTGAATTTGAGAAAGTGTGTATCTGATGCCAATGAGCCGTTACTATGTTTTTTTTTCTGGGACAATCTTCTCTTCCTGTGCATGGTCTTGCAAATTATTTCTATTTCTGTCTTTCTATAGGTTTCTCTTGCTTTATGCGGGTTCTGTATGTGCGAATTCACTCTTATGTGATGACCTTCTTTATACCAAAAATTCATTATATGCGTGGTAAATTCACTCTTACGTGATTGCGGGCTTCCACACCAGTGAGTTCCTTTGTGCGGTGCATTGTGGGAGTGACATGCATCAAAATAGTCCCCTGTGCGGATCTGTGCTCTTCACTCGTTGTCTGCGACACGTGTTTCTGTAGTTGCCATCCCCGTTATGATAGTGCCCTGTGCTTGTGTGTACTGTCTGCTGGTGGTAAGTACCAAAATTGCCTTGTAAAAGTGGTAGAAATGGGTCTGGGGGTCAGTACAGTTGAGGTCTTAGAACATCTCTAATTGTTACATTGTAAAGTGGGTTCCCTTTATGCAAATTCAAGTTATGCCCCATTTTCCAGGAAAGCATGTGCAGCATAAAGCAAATGAAACCTGTACTCTAAAATTATTTTTCAAAGCAAGAGAAATAAAAAAAACCCCAACTACAACACACACAATCCACCTTTAACAAGTTCCTGATTTTAAAAGTTAGATTGAACGGGTACATTTTGTACTAAGCACTAAAATATATTAAACCCTGATGTCGGCGATGACAAAAAGTAATAAAGTCCAAGTGTGGGAGCTTTCCATTAAGCAGGTGCCTTGCTTCCTGTCCCTACGTAAATTAGCCTTATGGATATCTCATGGCGTAGTCTAGTAGGACTAAAATATATTGGTGGCTAGCACCACTTCTTGGCAGTGGCCCGACTATATCTACTGCCACCTGCTCAAATGGAACCTCCACCGAGGGCATGGGTATCAGGGGATCTTTTGGCGGGTGAATAGGGGTTGCTGTCTGGTATGCGAGGCACAAAGCACAGTAATTTGCTACTTCCTGTAGTAATCCGGGCCAAAAGCATCTATCCTGAATGTGGACTTCTGTTTTGTCCCTCCCCAGATGCCCGCCCAGGGGGGTTCATGGGCAACCTTCAATAGGGTCCTCCTGTAGCGCTGGGGTACCAGCAGCTGTACTACCTCCTCTCCCTCAGTTTTCCCCTGTTTGACTCCATAGAGGAGATCATTCCTCACCTTGAATTGTGGGGTTATCCTCATCAGTGCTGGTCGCAATATTTCACCATTGCTTCGAGCCAGATGTTCTTGAGAGACATGTGGGAAATCTTCCTCCTGGCTCTGCTCCAATTGAAAATGGTCCTCATCACATAGTTGGGCAGTGTCCACCTCCTGCTCTTCCTTTTCCTAGTGTGGGAGTGTAACAGGGGGCCTGCTCAGGGCCAACTTCCCAGTGGCCTGCCCACCTGTTCCTGGGCTAACCGCCCGCATTCTTGTCCGCCACGCCTTGATGGTAATTAATTAATATAGATGTTAATAAGCGGGAGGCTGCCCATTTACTGCCCCGATGCCAGGGGGCACTATCTGCAGCTCCTTTCCTCCCCTACACCGCAGCCCAAGCCTCGCAGATGGCATCTAGGTGTTCTCATCATCACCGGCCCCACACTGGGTCCCAGAATCCTTCTATGAGGACCCCTCCAAGATCCCTCCATTCAGGCAGCCTACCCCGCCTTCATTCGGCTATCTAGCTCCCTGAAACTTTTCCCCTCTTGGGTGTAGTCCCCCCAGGACCTTTGGCTACCAGCCCTAGCCCACCTCCAGGCCAGTTGGGACCCCAGGCCCTCGGCTCTTGGGCATCCCTCGCGGTGCGCCCTGGCCCTTTTGACCGTCCTGGTCCTGGCCCCAGCATGGGCCAGTCGGGGGTGCTCTCTTGATCAGGTCCGAGTCTGTAGCCCCACTCTCTCCAGGGGTCTGCCTTCTGGGCCCTACACACCCGGTAGTGGGGGCTAGGGGTTAAGGCACCCTGACCCGCCTTTCACTGGGGTGGTCACTGGCCTGGCATTTCCTGGGGGCTCCCGCACCACTGAGAGCCCCACCAGGCCACCCACTCCCGGCAGGTGCAGTTTTAGGTCATGCCCAGGACCAGGAGCCTCCTGACCATCCCGTACAGCTCCTCCCTGATCTCCAGATGATAACAGCAGCCCTCTGGCCGGGCAGTGTTGTTGCCTGGCCTCTCACAGCAGACCTACCGTGTTTACGGGGGCAGCCCCAGCTCCCAAAATGGCTGCCCTCATCAGGCACCTGGCGGCTGCCAGCTCCAGGACCTTAAAGTGGCAGCACCAACAGTGCCCTGCCACAGGGAATTGTTTGCTCTCACCAGTTAATCCCTCAGCCATGGGTGCGAGGCTGGGGTTATGAGGCGCCCCTACCTGCCTTTCACTGGGGAGGAAACTGGCTTGGCATTTCCTGGGGGCCCCCACACCACTAGGAGCCCTACCAGGCCACACTTCCCTGGCAGGGGGCATGCAGTTTTAGGTCATGCCCAGGACCAGGAGCTTCCAAACTGTCTCCCCTTCTGGTTTCTCTTCCCTGATAGGTATAGAGATGTGAGAGCTTTCTCATCCCGTTGGCCCACCTCAGGGTAGGCCTCCCCGCTTCTTCATTCTGTCCTTCCTGAGCTGTCTCTGCCAATAACTCCTGCCAGTCATAACCTATTATCAGCGGATATGGTGAGTGCACCATTACACCTACTAGTGTCTGGTGGGTTTTGTCACCCACCTGCAGAATGACCCACACTCTGTCATACTTTAGGGACTCCCCACACCAGCATTGAAAAGATATCTGATTTATCACTTCTCTTTCTCTGCTCAGTAACATGCCTCTTTGCACTACTGTCTGTGACGAGCCTGTGTCTAACATAGCCCATATCCTCTGCCCATCTAGTCTCATGTCTGCCATGAGCAGGGGTTGTTCTTTTCCCGGTTCAGGGTCAACCCTTGCTCCATAGCCACAAACCCCTTCTTGCTTTGCTTGTTGGGTTTGTACGGCTCTGGCTACTGTCTCTAGCAGTAACTTCTGCCTTTCTATTTGGTCTTACAGCCCCTGGACTGCCCATCCCATTAGCTCGAATACATTTTGATGTATCCTCAGCTCCAAGGCTAACCTCTGCACTCCTTTTCCTAACTGCTCTTTGGGCCCAAAGATTCTCTCCTTCAGTCAGGTCCCCCACTGTCTCCAGTTACGCACTACCATAGGAAGTTTCCTGGTCAATGCACCGTTGTGACAGTGGGTCATCTTCGGGCCTGTCCAATGTTGGCCTGGCCCTCTGTTTCTCGGCTAACCACTCACCTTTCTTTCCTGCCACACCTTGATGGAACAATAATTATGATGTTACTCAGGTGGGAGGCTGCTCATTTACTACCTTGACACCAGAGGTTGCTATCCACTGCTCCAAACCTCCCCTACATGGTGGTTCATGCCTTGCAGATGGTATGTAAAGACTAGCACTTTTCATTCTGCTTCGGCCTTGAGTGGCCTCAGGCTTGCTGCAGCCCTGTTTCTGTAGCCTCTTCAGCATTGGGCTTGCTGCAGCCCTGTCTCTATGCCCTCTTCAGCGCTGGGGCTGTACACCATAGTGTGCCCCCCTATGAGGCCTCCTCCTCCCCAATAACCAGTGGACATTAGGGGCCATAGGCTTTACAGGCAAGATAGAACAGGAAGGAAAGGCAGGGGTGTGGCGCTCTTCATCAAAGAGCAATACACATCCTCTACCAGCAGGATGGGGTCAGAGGAAAGGCAGGCTGAAGTGCTCTGGGTTAGGATCCAGGGGGGCTGTGGGGAAAGGGACTTAACGGTGGGGGTTTACTACAGACCTCCCAATCAAAGGGAAGAGCTGGACCGCGAATTCTTGGGTCAGTTTGTGAAGGCACTTAAGGCAAGGGATGTAGTTGTCATGGGTGGTCTAAATTACCCGGACATCTGCTGGGACGAGCAGTCAGCCAGGTCGGACCGCTCACGGAGGTTCGTGGCTGTGATACAGGACCTCTGCTTAACCCAGGAGGTGCGCAGTCCTACCAGGGGGAATGCCCTTCTGGACCTGGTCCTGGCCACAGGCAATGACCTGGTAAGAGGGCTCCAGGTCCTTGACCACCTGGGCAATAGTGATCATCGTTTGCTCGAATTCACAGCAAGGCAGTAGCCCTAGACTTTAAGAGGGCCAACTTCAATGAGTTGATGAGATTAGTGGGAGAGGTGCTGGGGTCCTCGACAGTAGGGGAACTCAGTGCCCAAGATGAGTGGTCATTCCTTAAGGAGACGATACTCAGAGCCCAAGGGGTGACAATCCCAACAAGAAGCAAGGGGGGCAAGAGTGCCCAAAAGTCCCCCTGGCTCACCAAGGGCATTCGTGAATGCCTGATTGCCAAAAAGGAGGCATACACCCAATGGAAGGGAGGGGCTATCACCAAAGAGGAGTATACCTCCACTGCTCAGGTCTGTAGGGGAGCTGTTAGAAAAGCTAAGGCAGATACGGAGCTAGGGCTAGCGTCAAGGATCAAAGATAATAAAAAGTCCTTTTTTAAATATATAGGGAGAATGAAGAAGGCACCGGGTAATGTGGGGCCCCTGCAGGATATGCTTGGCAATCTGGTGGTTGTACCAGAGGAGAAAGCAGACCTCTTTAACAAATTCTTCGCCTCCATTTTCTTGTGCAGGGACGGGGACTCCCTGACCAGGATTCCAGATGGACTCGAGAGAAACACTGCCAGGCCTAAGGTCAGGGAGGCCCGGGTTAGAGAGCTTCTGGAGGAGCTGGACGTGTTCAAGTCAGCAGGTCCAGATGCTCTCCACCCCAGGGTGTTGAGGGAATTGGCAGGGGTTATTGTGGGGCCCCTGGCACGGCTTTATAAGCACTCGTGGTGCTCTGGCCAGGTGCCAGATGACTGGAAGAGGGCCAATGTGGTCCTCATCTTCAAAAAAGGGAAGAGGGAGGACCCAGGCAACTATAGGCCCATTAGTCTTACTTCAATCCTGGGGAAACTCTTTGAGAAGATCATCAAGGAGCACATCTGTGATGGGCC